GCAGCTATTCAAGAATTTCCCGGCACTTTATGGAACACGAATGTTTATTAGCGTGTTCACTAAAGCCCTCCACTGCTCCCTATCCTGAGCCAGAGCAATCCAACTCATACGATCCCATCCCATCTCTCTAAGATCCATTTTAATAATGTCCACACACCTACACCTTGTTCTTCCCAGTGATCTTTTTCCTTCTGGCTTTCCCACCAATATACTATACGCATTCCTCTTCTCCACCATTCGTGTTACATGCCCTGTCCATCTCATCCTCCTTGACTTGATCATTCTAATTATACTTGGAGAAGAGTACAAGTTATGAAGCTCCTCATTATGCAGTTTTCTCCAACCTCCTGTCACTTCATCTCTCGTCGGTCCAAATATTCTCCTCTGCACCCTGTTCTCAAACACCCTCAGCTATACAGAGATATTGGGTTTTCGGACTTTATCCATCGTCCTGGTTTTTAAGATAACTAAGAAAAACACGACGTTTCGGAAACTGGATCTGTTTCGGTCCTCAGGTGAGGTCCAGTGATTGAGGCTAGCTCTTTCTAAAGGACCCAACAGAATAGGTGTTTTCCCTCACCTGAGGACGGAAAAAGATCTAGTTTCCGAAACGTCGTGTTTTTCTTAGTTACCTTAACAACCAGGACGATGGATAAAGTCCGAAAACCCAATATCTCTGTGTGTTATGCACCATCGTCAGAATCCTATACTAACTACCCTCAGCTATGTTCCTCCTTTAATGTCAGAGACCATGTTTCACACCCATACAGACCCACCGGTAAAATTATAATTTTGTATGTTCTCATTTTTATGTTTTTAGACAGCAGACGAGAAGACAAGAGGTTCTGGACTGAATGATAGCAAGCATTACCCGAGTTCGATCTCCTCTTACTTTCCTCCTGAATCAGGTTTTGATTTGTCATCGTCGTTCCCAAATATCTGAACTGTGCCACATTTTCAAAACATCTGTTTCCTATCTTTATGCCCTGCATTCTTGTGAAGAGACAGCAACATATACTTACTTTTCTCTGTGATTATCTAAAGACTAACCTCCTTACTTGCGTCAATCAAAGTTTGTGTGCTTTTCTCTATGGTATCTATATTATCACCCAATAGATTCACATCATTAACATAGACGCACAGCTCATGTGTTCCATTTGATTTCAGTCCCACCTAGTTTTCCTGGACGTTCCTAATGGCATATTCTAAAGCAAAGTTGAAAATGAGTGGGGATAAAGCATCTCCTAGTTTTAGACCATTCTGGATAGGAAAATTCTGAGATACATGTTTACATATACGGACTTTAATATACGTTTCGTTTAAATACATTTTAATCAGCCTAACTAGTTTCATGGGTATCCCGAACTCTATCAGGATATTGTACAATACTTCCCTCCTAAGTGAATCATAGGCTTTCTTGAAATTACGAATAGTTGATGTACTGTCTCATTGTACTCACATTCCCCCCCCTCCCAATATCTGACGAATGCAAAAGATCTGATCGGTAGTTGATCTGTTTCGTCGAAATCCACACTGATGATACCCAATAATTTCATCGATATATGGGCTTAACCTCCAGAAGGGAACATTGGATAAAATTTTGTTTGAAGTTGATAGCAGTGATATCCCTCGATAATTAATAGACAATTTTATTACCCTTCTTGTGAACTGGTACAACAATAGACTCCTTCCATTGATCAGGCAATTCTTCCTTATTCCAGATAAAATTAATTAGCGTGTGTATCTTAGAACGTAATATTTCACCTCCTGCTTAAATCACTTCTGCGGGAATTTGTTCACTACCTGGAGATTTATATCTTTCAACTTTACAATGGTAATTTCGATCTCAATAGGGTTCGGATCAGCTGTATGTGTAGTTCATCTGAATAGTATTTCAAAATTTCGTTTCCCTTGCTTCTGCTCTTTAGGATATAATCATTGTCTATTCTAAGAATTGTCTACAGTCTTGAGCGAAACCAATAGTTCTTTTAACGTTGTAGCAGACGTACATGTAACAAGCACTATGCTTTAGAGCTAGGACTACGAACGTAATACCTGACCTAACCTGTGCATATACCAGAAGCGTTTTGTTCTTACACCTGTTCGACGCCCAGCACCGCGTTGTTCTAAATAGTCAAAATTCTTTAAAAACGTTACTCTGACAAGTAGATTCACCGCAGCAGCTCAGTCCCATGATTATCTAGGTCGCCATACTCAATCCTCGTAAACTTCTCGTGATGAGACTAGGTGATGGATGTCTCTTCCATGCCAAGTGGTTTCGAAGCGCTAAGATTCGTATTACACGAGCCACGCAGGAAGTGGACGAGCGCATGCATAGTAGGATCTTTATAGAATCGGACTATCAGTTTACTAAAGGAGCATTCCTACAGCAAATATATAAACGGAACAAGCTCGAGGATCAGGCCTGTGTTCTCGTTTGGCACATGTTTCACTGTTCCTGCCTTCAGTGGAGCCATAGCTGTGATTGTTTGAACTTTAAACTTATAACTCTCTATGTAAACGCCTGGAACACGTCTTTCCGAACCTCTGGTTGTGTAAGTATAAAAAGGGGCGGATGCGAAGTCGCCGGGTCGGGTTTGTGCCGCAGCTATTCTTAGCTTGCAAGCATGCGGAATTGTGGCAAGAGGCTACGGAGTTCAATTGCACCCAACTCGACTAGAAGAATAGTCCTACAGCAATGTCCCTTCCGCCCACTCCGTCTGCCTCGTTCTGTCTATCCATGTAAGTTCGTCTGTCTGTCTGTCTAACTATCTATCAAGTATCTGTCTGTCTGTCTATCTATCTGTCTCTGTCTATCTATCCTTCTTTTCCTAGATGCCTTAACTTAAGATACCTTAATCTGCTGTAATCCAGTCTCACCTAGTCTATCTATCTGTTTTGTGAGATTTGAGGTTTTCACGGCGGTAACTATGAACACCATTCTGTGATGTTCAGCCGTGTAATTTTGTGGATAGGTACTGATGTTTCGGAGAAAATGCTGTCTCCACTTCCAGGGTACAAGAGCTTTACATGGCGTCATGTCCCAGTGAACAATAAGTAACTACTACATGTACGCGCGTATTCAGAGATAATACATACGGATTAAATCTACGTGTATTTAAGTTGATAGTCTATGTCCATATTCGTTCACAAAATTTTGTCGTTATACATTGGGACCTGTGGTGTGTGACTTGGGCTGGGGATGGAGAATATTGTTTCAAGCATTTTATAATTTCTTACATGCGGTGGCGCAGTTGATTGAGGCACTATGCTACAAGCCGGAATGTCGCGGGTTAGAGTCCCGACGAGGTGGATTTTTTTTCAATTTGCTTACTCCTTCCAGCTGCACTATGGCCCTGGGGTCGACTCAGCCTCTAACAGAAATGAGTATCAGGAATATTCTTGGAGGCAAAGGGCTGCCGGCGCTTAGGGCTGACAACCTTACCGCCATCTATGAGCCGATTGTCTAGCAAATGTGGGAGTCTCGACGTCTCAAAACCCTATGGGCCTCCACAGCCTGATACAGGGATAGGTTTACTTTTTTACCCTCACTCTGTTCTTGGTTGTGACACCATTTAGTCTGTTAGGCAGTTACTGATTGTTTCAGAGGAATCTGCTGTCCACTCTCAGCAGGAAGTCTTTTCCTACCACTGCCTTATGTAATCACCGCAGTGACTTCCTCAGGACTCACCCAAAGTGCGAGCATATTCTCCCAGCTAGGTTTTGTATACGAACCAAATACCGAAATTCATCAAAATACTTGCACTAATTTCGGAGGCGAAACACACGGTGGGCGGGAAAAAGTAAACCCCCTTCCTTACGTGTTCTTAGAAGCGTTCACTTTGATCCGCGAGAAGTGTACACTACCAAACCGTCACTACAACAATTCAGGTATAAGTAATAAAACGGCTATTTACATTAAGCTTAATGACGACATGTTTTGACCTCTATTGAGACATCAGGTGTACCTCTGTGTATTTAGGCGCTGAAATTTGTTCCATATGGATCCATATTTTTCTTCACATTTGACAATGTTTATCTGATTATTGCTTAGGAGTGAACCTCTGGTTTCTTTACTTTTCGGCTTTAATCTGTATAGGTATAAAATTAAATTAAATTAAATTGAATTTAGATTAAAATTGGCCGCGTCATAGCTCAAGCGGTTAGTCGCTGGTTTCCCATCGCAGCGGCCCGGGTTCGATCCCGCGTCTGGTCAAGTGGGATTTATGGTGGACAAAGTGACGCTGGGGCTGGTTTTCTCCGAGTACTTCGGTTTCCCCTACCAATCTTCATTCCACCAATTGCTCCACGATCACCCTCACCTATCATCTGGTGCTGGTACAATAGGCCAGAAGTGGCCGCAGTACAAAGGATTTAGTCCCATCCCACTAGCAATAAAATAAAAAATAATAGATTAAAATTAATTTAAAATTAATTATGATTAAAGTTACAAGAATTTTAATATTAGACCCTAATGTTTATGGGTTTGTATTAAATTGTCAATTTACGTATTTATGAATTAATAATTCAAGATGGTTGTGACTGCCTATTTGACCACTTCAACGGCGCACTGGCTATTCCTGGCTTGGTTCTTCTTAGGTACTGCGGGTAGGATGTAGTTAGGGGCCAGGCCGTGATGTTATGTTCTCTTGCACTGCACGTCCGTACGTGCTACTTCCTTATTTATACCATATCGGAGTGTAGGTCGAGATATGTGTTGTCACGTTGTTTTCTTTATGATATGTAGTGCAGTTCACGTCTTGTTCTATATTCGCTCGTTGAGACAGATCCATATTTGAACAGAAAACCAGCACCTAAGTACACAGAAATGCACCTGAGAGAGGCCGAAACATGTCGTGATCAACATTAATACAAATAACCTTTGTTATTACTTTTACCTGAATTGTTGTGAGAAATAAACTGTTTTGAATGACACATAGCAGGGTGCAACAGGTAAAGAAGTGCGCACAAGCACTGAACTGTGTTCTGTTTGTTGCTAGGGTAATTGCACGTGGACCAACGTGACAGGACGTCAGGTGACCCTGGCCGACGCCAGTCTGCTGACGTTGTGCGAACTGGAGCGTCGAATGTTGCAGAAGGTAGCCATCGCCAAGCTCCAAGCTCTCAACTTGGGTGTCGCCGTTCGAATTCCGAGCGGTAGGTACAGTTAAGATATTTCGGTGAATAAAGTAATGTTATCTACAATGTAATATGCTGAGCGAATTTCACTTAAGTGTGGGTGCTGAAGGTGGATGGTAACTTCCCCTACTCATAATCTACTAGCGGCGTGGGCAGTTCGAATGACCGTTCCCCCCACCCTTCGTCACCACCCGCCTTCAGGATTCAGGACATCAATAATGTTGTACTTACTTACTTACGGAGCTGAGCCCTTCTTGAGAAGCCAAATCTGCAGCTACTCAAGAATTTCCCAGCATTCTAAGGAATCCGAAGGTTCATTACCGTGTTCACAAGAGCCCTCCAATGGTCCCAATCATGAGCCAGATCAATCCAATCCATACCATCCCATCATTTCTCTCTCTCAAATCCATTTTAATATTGTCCACCCACCTACGCCTTGGTCTTCCCAGTTGTTTATTTCCATGTGGCTTTCCTACCAATAACCTCTATGCATTACTCTTCTCCACTATTCGTGCTACATGCCATGCCTATCTCCTCCTCCTTGACTTGATCATTCTAAATCAATAATGCTGTAACTTTACGAGAAGGTCTAATGACGTCTTACAAAAGACCGCCATAAAGAGGGAACTGATAACTGAGCTCAGGCAGATGCAGGTGAATTGTTATTTGAAAATATTTCTTTTAATTATTCGCATTTAGCCGACATAAGAAATTTTTCTCGAATATTGTGACTAAGAATATTTGATTTCAGGCTATACTTCAGTCCAATATGTCTTCGTGACATGGTGCTTAATTAAGCATCGAAGCAGCTTAGTTAGTTAGTTAGTTAGTTAGTTAGTTAGTTAGTTATTAGAGAGGGTGTGTTTCCCCATGCACTTAGACCTGTAGTGGTCCATTGTGCTTCCCTCTATGATTTCTACCAGCCTCTATATCCTACCGGTATTGGTGCTTACCATCAGTCCCGCCCAGCCAGCGAGACCGGCTCT